AAATTGCAAATTCTAACCTTGAAAAAGTAGATGAGATAGGATTCCTGGGAGTAATTATTGATTCAAAATTATCTTGGGCTCCCCATATCAATGCTCTTCATAGAAAAGTTTCAAATGTTATAGGAATGTTATATCATACAAATTATGCTCATACTTTAAATTCAAAGATGATAATATATAACTCTCTGATTTTTTCTCATCTTAATTACTGTAATATTTTATGGGGAAATGCTTGTAAGAATCTATTAAATAGACTACTGCTATTGCAAAAGAAATTTGTTAGATTAATAACAAATTCAGATAGATTAGCTCACACATTCCCAATTTTTCAAGATCTTTAAATACTTAAAGACACAGAACCAAGACCCTGGGTCCTGTTATCCAATCAAAAAGTAGTTTTCATTAACCAATAGAAATTCACACCGATTGAGCCAATCACAGCCTTCAAAACAAGATTTTTAAAAATGGCCACCAAAATAGTAAACAATAACATAGCAGTAAAATTTTGTACTCACATATATATGCATTGGTTTCTCATTTAATAATCCACTAAACAATATTATAAGAGCATATAATCCAAATAGTAGTTACTATAGTTAATGTGTATACTATTATATTTAATTAATCCGAATAAGAATATTTCATTGTGTAAGTCTAGCTGAACTTATATCCATTCACTGGTAAACATGTCCTTTATATTCAATGCCAGGTGGATTCGGGAACCATTCTCTCACTTGTGTGACAACACATGTGGGCATTATCTCCCTTTTATGGTATATTATACTTCTGTCACTACTTTTGGAAGCTGCCTTTTTGGTTAAGTAGTTAGGATGTCTCCATAGTCCTAGATTGTTTATCATTCTCCAAAATTCCTTGTACAGTTTTCTCCTTGTTATAATGTTTGACAATGATGGAGTTGCATTTGTTGTCCTCCAAAATGGCTCATACTTGGCTTCATTGACAACACATGGGTTCCAGAAACAATGCGGACAATCATGTGACTCTTCATTAGAACTAGGGGAATCATTGTTAGGAGGCTGCGGAGGCTCTGTAGATACATGTTGTGGTATCATACCAGTCAAAATGCTGATTGACTGACTTGCTTGACTTTCGTCTTCTGTTGAAGAATCAGTGGCTACTGTTTCTAAAGAACAAATTGCTACTGTTTCTGAAGAGATACTAGCTGATGTTTTCCTCTTTGCTGCTTTTCTTCTATTCACATTACTGTTTTTTCTGTATTATTCAACCTACTGTTCTTGTAGCTGTCCTCAATGGGGTCAAAGTTCCAGTCATAGTGATCATATAGGGATTCTATCACTAACCTCTGTTCCTCAGTTACATTTATCTTCAAGCTGTAAGTTCTGCTTTCCATTTCACTGCTTGAACTTCAAACATAAAATGACACTGTTTCTTGGATCATAGATTTAGTTTTTAGAATCTGAAAGACCAGTGAAATGCAGCTTGATAAATGTATATTACTATGGGAAAACCAAGGCTTTCTCCAATTCTTGGAGGTTTTAATAATAAATACTCTCTGGTGGATTCATCATCTGGAATCTCAGATATACTCACTCGGGAAGGTACATTAAATGTTGAATGTCACCAGAAATCTAACATATAATCTTCATATGTGGAAGAGTGTAATTTGTTCACCCCTGTGTTCATGATATGGTACATCCACATGAACTCTTGTAAGGTCCAAATCTAGGTTTCTATTGATGTGACCATGATTGATAATTAAAAAACATGACTCCCTGACTTTGTCAATGAGGCATGTAGAAAATCTCTTGAATTTCCCAATTTTTCAATTTTATAGCTAAGTGGTGAAAGCAGGCAAATCCTAGACCTCTGAGATTTTTAATTGGGGCTGTACCACTTATGTGCCTCATGGCATAAGTTGCAAACAGTTACCTGGATTTTTTATTTTTCTGAACTTTCATCATTAAATTATGGCTAGAATTTGAGTAAGAACAAAAAAGAAATGTGGTTATAATGCAACAATAAAATATGGCTTATCATTTTTGCACTCCCTAGCTTAATAACTAAAATAAATATAATTATGGTTATATATTTCCCACACTGTCACATCCCTAAGGTACACCCTTTGCCTAAATTGCCATGTGTTTTCAACTGTTACATTTGTGCCTTTTCACATATCTTACTAACAGTTACTAGGCAAGACACACATTGTAGCAATCCTAAACTGTATGATGGCAAGTAAAGCTAAGAAAAAGAAGGAATATAGAGAAAAGCATGGGCGTTCCTCAAGATTCTCAATTGAATGTGCAGGAGGTCAAGAGAAGAAGGAAACTTTGCTTGGAAAAACGAGTAAAATAAAGAAGTTTTTACACCTGAATGGCAATGTAGATGCCATAGAAATAGCATTAGACTATTGGCTAACACACAATATGCCATCTGCAAGTAGCAACACACATACTTCAGCATCATCTGAAGGCAATCTTGAGCCAGAGTCTTGGTACACACCACTAGAGAGACATGAAACTGAGCAACCAATATTTTTTACAACTGAAAAAACTGTCAAAAAACTTGTAAGTTTAGTTGAACATCATAGCAGAATATGTCAAGCGGAACTTCAGTTGCAAGAAGTAGTATTACATGGACATGCAGCAACAATTGCATTTAAATGCCAGGTCAGCGAACATTATGTAAGATGGCCTTCCTCACCCCACTTACCAAATAGCGAGGCTTACGTCAATCTTCGTTTTTTCTTTGGACAGTTGACAAGTGGGCTACTGCCTTCACAATATGAGAATGTTGTTAAAGCAGTCGGTATGGGCCATCTAGGTTGGAGAAAAGAGAAGACTTATACAAATGAATTATCTTCTCATATCAGTGAAGCGATGAAAGAATCTTGCAAAGCTGCCTTAGATGAAGAAAAGGGGACGTATCCTGATGTCGAGGCAAATGGTATCAATATCATGACGGATGCTCGACATGGTGGTAGAAGAAATGCGTTTGATTGTGATGTGATATGTTTGGGCCACAACAAACACAGAGTTATACGTTCTGAACATGTTTCAAAGGAAGATGAAATGTCATCTCAAAAGCATGAGGCATTGGGTACTAAACGGATGTATGAATTTTTTGATGCTGAACAAGTTAAAATAAATATTCATGCCCATGACAACAACGGTACAATCAATAAAATAATCCGTGAGCACAGAGGACCTGGTGGCAAGGAAACTTTAAACCAGAATGACACATGGCATGCGGCAAAGTCATTCAGTCGTGAAATAAACAAAGTTTGTAAGGGGCCCAAATATAAAGATGGCGAGACGTGGCACTCGGAACTCATAGACAAACCCGATGGGGCACGAAAAATAGCACAGCAAGTTATTCGAAACTGTGATAAGAATCCGAATACAATCAGGATGAAACTAGAGCAAATTCCAAACCATTATAAGGACAACCATTTAAATTGCGATGCCATATCAAGCTGTAAAACAAATATCAACTACAGATTAGAGAAAATTAGAATCACCTCACCCATTGCAGAACAATTATTATTATCATCAATTAAAAAAACAGAAATTTATAGACACGCTGAACATTATACAGAAGCTATGGACACATTTTATGTTGAGAGCTTCAACAATACGTTGAATATTTTCCATGATAAGCGTGTTGTCTTTAAAAAGCAACAATTCGAAATAAGAACTAATCTAGCTGTCGTCCACTGGAATGAAAATGTAGACCGTGATTATTCCAGCATTACTGAAATTGATGATCCACTGAATCCCTTCAAACAAAGAAAAGTTTTGAAGGACTACACAACTAATTACAAAAACAATATTTGGAACAAATGGATGGATTCTATATTTTAATTATACAATATACTTATACTTTACCACATTCCATAGATTATTTACAAGATTAATAACATATAAATACAACATGACTATGTGCATGTAATTGGATTAACTATCACTGTTGGATATATAAAGATCACATCACTTGAAATGCCTCAGCCAGGATCAGGGTAAGTTAATATCAATAATACTTCATTTACTGCAGATATTTTAGGCCATGTGCTTTTGTTGACCTCTAAATATGCACGGATCGCCTGTTGTGATTGGCTCATTTCAAAATAGGCTCCTCCTTCTCAGTTGTTCCAATATCAGAAATTAAACAGTAATAATTACAAAAGTAAATAATATCTTGGACTGGATTTAACATGTTTCAATGCCTCCTATATTCATAGATAACTGTGACAATTTATAGAGTGATAGGGTTTCTATAACTAGAGAAAATGAGGAAAATGTCAGTGAGCTCAGATTTTGTCTAAATTTTGAATTCAGCCATGTTTTTTCAACTGATTCAGGCCTTTTATAGCGGGGGTGAGTCTTTAATATTTATCATATTCACACAATACAAACTGTTTTATTCATGATAAAAGTTATAAGCAAATCTGTACAGTTCCCTTCAAAATTATACGATCACTATTTCAAAACTAGAGAAAACATACATCAACGTATAACTCGATTTGGTCATAACTTAGATATTCCTAAACATAGAACCAGAATTGGTGAAAATTCTATTAAGGTCCATGGTTCATATATATGGAATTCCCTCAATGAAGATATTAGAAATAAATCATTAAATTCACTCATATCTCGTTTGAAAATTGACCTCCTGAGTACAGAGTAACCAAAACATTTATTTCATTTATTTATTGTCTCATATTATTGTATTTGTATATTGTATTCATATTATATTATTGTATTGACCTATGTACCACTTTAAATGTTCACAGTTTATCATGTTTATTGTAAATTTAATTATGGGTGTCATAGCCTGTATAATGTTGTAATTTTTGTAATGAAAAATGAAATAAATTATTTTGAAATTGAATTGAATTGATGAAGTCCTTTCTTCTAAATATGTGTAAATATGCAAGAAGTCCTTTCTTCTAAATATGATTACATCGTATCAATATCAATATCAAGTTAATGTAACTCATTATATTATACAGTTTAATTTTACTTAAACCATCTGTCAAGAGTCAGCTGCTTCCCAGCTTTCTTCAATGATAAGTCCAGTATTGTGTCCTGTAGTTTTGGTGTAGTTGTTGGTTCATCTTCATTGGAAGGTTGTTTGTTTCTTGCCTCAGGCGTTGTATCAGAAAGGTTTGTATTTGTTGGTTCAGGTGTTAACAGTTTCCTTTGATAAGTAGAATCTTCCAGCATATTATCAGTTATAAGAGTATCATGTATTAAGAGCTCTTCATCGAGAAGTAAATCTTTATTAGCTGTTTCAGTTTCTCCCAATATCGATTCCCTTTTTTTGTTTATTACCTCAATTGACTCCTTTGCTGCTTCCATCCTTTTAATTTTCTCTTTCTCGGATAGTTTAGGAATTTTATAGACTTTTAACTGTTCTTGAGGGGAAATGTCAACTTCTTTCAAGCATTTTTTCAGGATATCATGGCCCAATGGTGAAAGTCTGGCGAAAGAGTCCCACCCACTGTCCATATCTATATCAATATCTTGCCTGGGCTCATTTGTCTTCTCTTTTCCCTGGACAATTTCCACCTCTTGGTCCTCTGAACTCAGTAAAGAGGGCATTACAGATGAGACGGGGGTATCAAGAGACATCAGATCAGATATTGAGTTGATGACTTCACTGTCATTTGAAAGATCCACATACGTAATCTTGGGAATGCTCGCATTAACCTGGCCAATATGTTTTGCAATATGTTCATCGATTGCCTTTTTAAAGTACATAGGCCTTGTATATCTACACTCTGGACAATGAAATTTTTCTGTATGCACATTCCTCACATGCTTGTTTAGTTTGGTTTTACTATCAAACTTCTTGGAGCATAGTTGACATCTGTGTTTGTTATGGAATTGAAACTCGTGTTCTACTAACGCTTCTATTTCAATGAAGGAAGCCCCACACAAAACATCTTGAATTGAATGTAGACAGGAATAGACCTGGAAATATAGGGTACTGGAGATGAGTGTAGGCCAAACGTTCTAAACAAACATTGTTTATTATATATCAGTAGTAACAAATATACCAATATATATGGGATTAATATCTGAACCTACATTTAACTCTTAAAGTTACTTTGGGGAGTTTACTCTGAGACTGAAAATTATAGAGTAAAGTTGGTTTTTAAAGGATTAATAAAAGAACATAAAACAAGGCAGAAAGTTAACTTGAGAAACAAAGAGCTAGTAATAGGTTAAAAATCATGCAGACATGTTAGTACATTTCATAGCCATCTAGCCATGCAGGTACTTTCTGTCTACGCTGGGGTCTAGTTTTTGGGTCATCAGAAATTGGGGAAATATTCTCAGTTTCCGATGGTGGAATTGTCTGATCATCTGTCACAATTTCGGATTCCACAGGCGTTTGGAATTCGGGAGGAGGATCCCCTAGGTATCGTTTTAGACGATTTGAATGAACAACTTTGAGCGTCCCCTTGATTGAGATCATGTAACGGAAATCATCTAATTTATCGATAACTTGGTATGGACCATCCCAGTTATTTACAATTTTTGGCATTTGACCAGTTTTGGTTACAGGGATATGTATCCAAACCAGTATTTTGGCTTATACAAAGGGTTCTGGGACTTGATGTCATATAGCCTCTTATAGTTCTGACTAGCTAAATCAATGTTATCACGGGCTGCATCATGCACCACTAATAACTTGTCCCTGAGCTTTTCACAGTAACTAGTATGTAAAGGGTCCTGGGGTGGACCTTTCTCCACAAGTGGAGGGGGACCTAATACTAAGTCTGCTGCTATAAAGGGAGTTCTGCCGAACATCAATTCAGCTGGAGAAAATTTAGTTGTCTCATGCACAGCTGTTCTGATTGCTGAAGCTACAAAAGGGAGGTATTCTGGCCAATCTCTATGATGACAGGACACTATTTTGGACAACATAGCTTCAATGGTCTGGTTTGAACGCTCCACCATACCATCCGACTGGGGATGGTACAGCGTTGTTCTAGTCTTATCACAGATCGTTTGGTGAATTCGCACTTCAACAATTAGATGTTGTCAAGTTTTCTAACATTCTGTACCGATTCTTGTTCAACAGATATATCATTGGATGAAACCTTTTTATCACCTGAAAATATGTTTTCCAATTGAACTGAATTTGAGCAAGCCAGTCTCTACCTAATAACAAATGTTTTGTATGCTTTACAATATACAATTGTAATATCTTGACTTGCTTGTCATACCTAACCTTGACTTTTATCTTGCCAACAGGCTTTACTGATTCACCCGTGAAACTAGAAAACTCTATGTGTACCCTTTAATTTCATATGGTTAAATAGATACTGCTGAGCCTGTATCTAATTCCATGTCCAGCAACATCTTGTCATATCTGCTTGGCTTCGTTACATGTCGTCTAGCGAACTAATGCACTTGACACAACCTCCACAAATGTCTTGTGAGGATTTTCTTGAGTCTTTTCCATCAGTTTCAAGGCTGTGTTTTCATTGTTTATGCCCGATATGAAACGATCTTGTAATTGCTCATCGAGTTTATTTGCAAACTCACACTGGCCTGAAAGATGCTTTAATGTTACGACATAGTCTTGAATAGATTCATCTGCTAATTGATCACGTTTGATAAACTTGTGTCTTTCAGCTACCACTATTTGTTCCGCTTTCAAATGTTTCCTCAACATGGTTTTTAGATGTTGGTAAAACTTTGTGCTGGGCAATTCTGGAGCAACTAAATCTCTTACCACTGAGTAATATTTCTTGCCCAACAAATGTCAGAAGATTGCAACTACCTGTTTTTCAAGTGTTGGGTCAGGAACTACTGGTGCTGGATCAAGTCCATTTGCAATCAAAAATAATTCGAATCGCTCAACATAACAGTCCCAATCTTCACTGGCATCATAGCACGTGGAAAATGGTGGTTAACCAACTCGGACATTTTGCACATTCTCAGCCCTTTCAGTTCCTTTCTCCTGTATTGGATCAGCCATACTTTGTGTTCAAATGTTGCACAAATATATCCAGTGTTTTTATATCATCGCCAAATTTGTAGGATATGTCAATTATAGATACAAATGTCTATTAATATCCCAAAGTAATAAATGAACACAACTTTTATATTCTGTATTCAATCTATATTTCAAAACGAGGCTGATACTAGTGACACCTATTGACAACACTTATTGGTTGTGCTAACACAATGGAACAATCACTTCATTAATCAAATATACAACAAGCAGAAGTACAGTTCACAAGTTTACGAATATCAGTTACAGTCAGACACAAATACTTACTGTAGTACAGGAGTCCGTGAAGCGATGACATAATCCATGTCGTTTGCATATATCCGCGAAGCAATGACGTAATCTGTGTCGTGTGCAAAAATGTTAAGCTCGAAATTTGCGAAAAATTTCCACTGGCAATCAAAGTTCAACACCAAAAATACCTGTAATCTGGTAGCATTCAGACAAGTTTCACCTGTCCTACTTATTCTCTGTGGTTTAACCTCCTCGTAGGATCGCATTCCACATTTGACACCATGTTCAGTTTATTTTCTGGTGTAAGCCCCAATTGCAGAAGAAAATATTGTAATACAAAATAATAATGGCTTGCCAGCCAATCTGACAATTACATGACACACAATACATAACAGTAATATTTAAGAGGGCACCCGAGTTTGGTTATGATTTCAATCTGAGGTACAAATGGGGAAACTTCTATATTAATCTAACAAATAAATGCTCTGAAGCTGATTCTAGTGATACACAATGAATAATATAATTAGAATGGCTACTGTAATAAGACAAGGAATGGTTACCCAGCTATCGGCAGCTCAAAAAATATATATTGAGTTCTGTATTAACTTTGCCCTCTTTGTGTGATATATATGTTGATAACTTTCTATTACAAAAACTTTTTTTTTAATTGAATCTTTACTACACTACCCCATGCCATGACTAGAAAATACAGTGATATGACTTGCCAGCAATAGTTATGTATTGTATATTAAGTTGACTTTCGCCGAAGATACATGCTTGTAGCTTTGGTAGATTTTATAATTTCCGCGATTCTTGTCGTGGAAGCGTCTTCTATGAAGAGGTTAAATTGGCTTTTCCTAATACATCTGTGGTGCCACAACTTTGCGAATAGAATGTGCTCTTATAATACTATCAGAATGCGATTGCATATTATAAGTTCTGATTCTAAAATATTTTTGAGGTGATATTCTTGGTGAATAGGCATCGATGTGAAGTATGAATTCCATCGAAACTTCACACACATAAACATTATACTCATGATATAGTCAAATCGGCATACCTAGTTAATAACCAACCCATGGGTTTCATAAAAGAAACGATAATATTTGAGCTAAAAACTGCCATAAAAAAAACTGCCTAAAAACTTTCCTCTCTCCATCATGTCTAATATCATTTTTATATGACATCACACCAATAAGACGAAATACATGACAACAGTATCCATCAACAAAATACCTGAATTCTGATCGCAAAAGGTCAATTAGCATTGCTGATAATCCATCCATGTTATGAAATATATAAAAGAACCGATACTCACAGGGTTTTATATATATAGCTTGCCCGTTGGTAAGTGTGGAGCATTACTTGTTAAAAATGCTCCAGCATCCACAGCTTTATTTCCCCATTTTCAGTGTTATTGACTATTTTCATGTAACAGAAGAAAAATTTGGGTACAGTCAAAGTATCATAAGTGGCGGATTTACAATCTGCACCTCTGTATACATAGAAATGAGGCCAATCTACTAGTATTTTGGCAATGTCATAAATTGTTCGCATTCTGTTTGATTTTTAGACCGCTTACCTCGAAATTACTTGTGTCCTTTCTCATCCTTGGATTTCATCCTCACTGTTATCGGTGTCAGATTGTAATAAATCTTGTAGCCTTTTGTCAATAGTTTCTACAAGCTTGGAGTCCCTCCGTAAAGTGTTGAGATTAATATAGGAAATTCCATGATCGGTGTTCAATGCTTGATAGTCTGAGCGACATTGGTTCCACTGGATTGCACTTGATATTGAATTTCGAATCGGGGTGTAATTGCAACAGTTTCTACCCCATGCGCTGCTGTGTGTCTGGTAGCAGACCTGGATGGTACGCTGGAAACATTGTGATGGCATTTTGGCAAAATTAGTCTGCCAATTGTCCAAATAACTCCTGAATGTCTTGCTTGGTCAAAGAAGTTTGAGAGTCGTCACCGACGTAAGGGTTTCTCGCATTAACGCCTGGCTACTCATTTTCGTGCGTCAACATAACATCTATATCTTCCTCATCTGTAATCGCTGGGACTGTCAATTTGCACTTTACCATGTTGGTGGAGGGTGTTTTCTCTCGCATTTGTTACAGTATCTCATGTTGAATAATATAGTTAACCCAGAATGTTTTTACAAATCAACATTCAAATAATAACATCCAAAGGCTTAGTGAATTGCTAACACACGAGGGGACTCTACGTCATTAGACATGTGATCATAGAGAGGAATTATACTCTTGAGATACTGTTATTAAAGTAAATAGGACAAATTTAAACATTTTGAACGTTCAAACAAAACAGATCCTTAAAATTGTAAAAAATTCACTAAAATCTGTCAAAAATGTTTTGTATTGTTGCATTTTCAAATGTAAGCAACATCCTAAATCATTGGATATTGTCGAAGTTATATCTCTGAAAATTGTGCAACTGCTTACCCATCTAACCTGTGATTCAAGCACAGTCAAGCATCA